GCGCACGCACGCGCACGCACGCACGCACGCACGCGCACGCACGCACGTGCACGCACGCGCACAGACGTGCACACACGTGCACGCGTGTGCACACACGTGCACGCACGCACACGCAGGCGCACGCACGCGCACGCACGTGCACGCACGCACGTGCACACACGTGCACGCACGCGCACGCACGCGCACGCGCACGCACGGCGCACGCACGCGCACGCGCAATCACGCACGTGCGCGTGCACGTGCGTGCGCGTGCGTGCGTGCACGTGCGTGCACGTGCGTGCGCGTGCGTGCGCGTGCGTGCGCACACGTGCACACACGTGTGTGCACACACGTGCACGCGTGTGCACGCACGCGCACGCGCACGCACGCGCAACGCAACGCACGCACGCGCACAGACGGTGCACACACGTGCACGCCGTGTGCACACACGTGCACGCACGTGCGCACGGCACGTGCACACACGTGCACTCACGTGCACGCACGTGCACACGCGTGCACACACGTGCACGCGCTGTGCACGCACGTGCATGCACGCGCACGCACGCGCCGCACGCGCACGCACGCGCACGCACCACGTGCACACACGTGCACACGCGTTGCACACACGTGCAGACGCGTGCACGCACGTGCACGCACGGCACGCCGCGCACGCACACGCACGCAGCGCACAGACGTGCACACACGTGCACACCGTGTGCACGCACTGCACGCGCACGCACGCGCACGCACGCGCCGCACGTGCACGCACGTGCACGCGCACGCACACCACTTGCACACGCGTGCACACGCGTGCACACACGTGCACACGCGTGCACGCACGCGCACGCGCACGCACGCGCAATCACGCACACGCGCGCGCACGCGCATGCACGCGCACGCACGCGCACGCACACACGTGCACGCGCACGCACGCACGTGCACACACGTGCACGCGTGTGCACACACGTGCACACACGTGCACCCACGTGCACGCACGTGCACGCACGTGCACGCACGTACACGCACGTGCACGCACACACGTGCACACACGTGCACGCGTGTGCACGCACGCGCACGCACACACGTGCACGCGCACGCACACACGTGCACACACGTGCACACGCGTGCACACACGTGCACACGCGTGCACGCACGCGCACGCACGCGCACGCACACGCACGCGCACGCGCACGCACCGCACAGACGTGCACACACGTGCACGCGTGTGCACACACGTGCACGCACGCACACGCAGGCGCACGCACGCGCACGCACGCGCACGCACGCACGTGCACACACGTGCACGCACGCGCCAACTGCGCACGCACGCGCACGCACGCATAGCGCACGCGCAATCACGCGCACGCACGTGCACGCACGTGCGCACGCACGTGCATGCACGTGCACACACGTGCACGCACGTGCACACACGTGCACGCACGCGCACGCACGTGCACGCACGCGCCGCACGCACACACGTGCACGCGCACGAACGCACGTGCACAACACGTGCACGCGTGTGCACACACGTGCACGCGTGTGCACGCACGCGCACGCACGCGCACGCACGCGCACGCACACACGTGCACGCGCACGCACACACGTGCACACACGTGCACACGCGTGCACACGCGTGGACACGCGTGCATGCACGTGCACGCGCACGCACGCGCACGCGCACGCACGCGCACGCACGCGCACAGACGTGCACACACGTGCACGCGTGTGCACACACGTGCACGCACGCACACGCAGGCGCACGCACGCGCACGCACGCGCACGCACGCACGTGCACACACGTGCACGCACGCGCACGCACGCGCACGCACGCGCACGCGCAATCACGTGCACGCGCGTGCACGCACGCGCACGCACGTGCACGCACGCGCACGCACGCACGCGCACGCACGCGCACGCACGTGCACGCACGTGCACGCACGTGCACGCACGTGCACACACGTGCACGTGCACACACGTGCACGTGTGTGCACACACGTGCACACACGTGCACACACGTGCACGCGTGTGCACGCACGCGCACGCACGCACGCGCACGCACACGCACGCACGCGCACAGACGTGCACACACGTGCACGCGTGTGCAAACACGTGCACGCACGTGCGCACGCACGTGCGCACGCACGTGCACGCACGTGCACACGCGTGCACACACGTGCAGGCGTGTGCACGCACGTGCATGCACGCGCACGCGCACGCACGCGCACGCACGCGCACGCACACACGTGCACGCGCACGCACACACGTGCACACACGTGTACACGCGTGCACACACGTGCAGACGCGTGCACGCACGTGCACGCACGTGCACGCACGCACGCACGCGCACGCACGCGCACAGACGTGCACACACGTGCACGCGTGTGCACACACGTGCACGCACGCACACGCACGCGCACGCACGCGCACGCGCACGCACGCGCACGCACGCGCACGCACACACGTGCACGCGCACGCACGCACGTGCACACACGTGCACGCACGTGCACGCACGTGCACGCACGTGCACGCACGTGCACCCACGTGTACGCACGTGCACACACGTGCACGCACGTGCACGCACACACGTGCACACACGTGCACACACGTGCACGCGTGTGCACGCACGTGCACGCGCGTGCACACGCGTGCACACACGTGCACCCACGTGCACGCGCGTGCACGCACGTGCGTGTGCGTGCGTGCGCGTGCGTGCGCGTTCGTGCGCGTGCGTGCGTGCGCGTGCGCGTGCGTGCGCGTGTGTGCACGTCTGTGCACGTGTGTGCACACACGTGCACGTGCGTGCACGTGTGTGCACGTGTGTGCACGTGCACGTGCACGCACGTGCGTGCACGTGTGTGCACGTGCACGTGCGTGCGCGTGCACGTGGGTGCGCGCGCGTGCGCGTGCGTGCGCGTGCGTGCGCGTGCGTGCACGCGCTTGCACGTGCGTGCACGCGTGTGCACGTGTGTGCACGCGTGTGCACGTGTGTGCACGTGTGTGCGTGCGCGTGCACGTGTGTGCGTGCGCGTGCGTGCGCGTGCGTGCACGTGCGTGCACACGCGTGCACGCGTGTGCACGTGGGTGCACGTGTGTGCACGTGCGTGCACGTGCGTGCACGTGTGTGCGTGCGCGTGCACGTGTGTGCGTGCGCGTGCGTGCACGTGCGTGCACACGCGTGCACGTGCGTGCACGCATGTACACGTGGGTGCACGCGTGTGCACGTGCGTGCACGTGCGTGCACGTGTGCGCGTGCGTGCACGTGTTTGCACACGCGTGCACGTGTGTGCACGTCTGTGCACGTGCGTGCTCGTGCGTGCGCGTGCGAACGCACGCGTGCACGTGCGTGCGTGCGCGTGCGTGCGTGCGCGCGTGTGCACGTGCACGCGTGTGCACACGTGGGTGCACGTATGTGCACGCGTGTTCACGTGTGTGCACGTGTGTGCGTGCGCGTGCACGTGTGTGCGTGCGCGTGCGTGCGCGTGCGCGTGCGTGCGCGTGTGTGCACGTCTGTGCACGTGTGTGCACACACGTGCACGTGCGTGCACGTGCGTGCACGGGCGTGCAAATGCGTGCACGCGTGTGCACGTGGGTGCACGTGTGTGCACGTGCGTGCACGTGCGTGCACGTGTGTGCGTGCGCGTGCACGTGTGTGCGTGCGCGTGCGTGCGCGCGCGTGCGTGCGCGCGCGTGCGCGTGCGTGCGCGTGCGTGCGCGTGTTTGCACACGCGTGCACGTGTGTGCACGCGCGTGCACGTGTGTGCACGTCTGTACGCGTGCGTGCGCGTGCGCGTGCGTGCGCGTGCGTGCACGCGTGTGCACGTGCGTGCACGTGCGTGCACGTGTGTGCACGTGTGTGCACACGCGTGCACGCGCGTGCACGCACGTGCGTGTGCGTGCGTGCGCGTGCGTGCGCGTGCGTGCGCGTTCGTGCGCGTGCGTGCGTGCGCGTGCGTGCGCGTGTGTGCACGTCTGTGCACGTGTGTGCACACACGTGCACGTGCGTGCACGTGCGTGCACGTGCGTGCACATGCGTGCACGTGTGTGCACGTGTGTGCACGTGCGTGCGTGCGCGTGCACGTGTGTGCGTGCGCGTGCGCGTGCGTGCGCGTGCGTGCACGCGCGTGCACGTGGGTGCACGTGTGTGCACGTGCGTGCACGTGCGTGCACGTGCGTGCGTGCGCGTGCGTGCGCGTGCGTGCACGTGCGTGCACACGCGTGCACGTGCGTGCACGCATGTGCACGTGGGTGCACGCGTGTGCACGCGCGTGCACGTGCGTGCACGTGTGCACGTGCGTGCGTGCACGTGTTTGCACACGCGTGCACGTGTGTGCACGTCTGTGCACGTGCGTGCTCGTGCGTGCGCGTGCGTGCACGTGCGTGCGCGTGCGTGCGCGTGCGTGCACACGCGTGCACGTGTGTGCACGTGGGTGCACGTGTGCGCACACACGTGCACGCGCGTGCACGCGCGCGCACGCGCATGCCTGCGCACGCACGCGTGCACGTGCGTGCGTGCGCGTGCGTGCGTGCGCGCGCGTGCACGTGCACGCGTGTGCACACGTGGGTGCACGTATGTGCACGTGTGTTCACGTGTGTGCACGTGTGTGCGTGTGCGTGCACGTGTGTGCGTGCGCGTGCGTGCGTGCGCGTGCGCGTGCGTGCGCGTGTGTGCACGTCTGTGCACGTGTGTGCACACACGTGCACGTGCGTGCACGTGCGTGCACGGGCGTGCACATGCGTGCACGCGTGTGCACGTGGGTGCACGTGTGTGCACGTGCGTGCACGCGTGTGCACGTGTGTGCGTGCGCGTGCACGTGCGTGCGTGCGCGTGCGTGCGCGTGCGTGCACGTGCGTGCTCGTGCGTGCGCGTGCGCACGCACGCGTGCACGTGCGTGCGTGCGCGTGCGTGCGTGCGCGCGTGTGCACGTGCACGCGTGTGCACACGTGGGTGCACGTATGTGCACGCGTGTTCACGTGTGTGCACGTGTGTGCGTGCGCGTGCACGTGTAGGGCTGTTACAGAGGGTCTGTTGTGTAGGGCTGTTTGCATAGGGGCTAACGGAAAACAGACACAGTGGGCGGGGTCTCCGTGAGCACACGGGGTGGTGCCCGCAACGACGTCCGTACTGGACGGCGTGAGGGGGGGTTTCGATCCTCTAGGGGGGTATAAAAAGGGTTGAGCCAGAGAGCTCGGGGCTCAGTCTTAGAGTAGTTAAGTGAAGAGAGAAGACCGGCCAGATAGGCCCTGGACTCCCCCTGGGACGCCGCCCTTGTAAGGGCAGTGCAGGCTGGAGCCAGTGGCGTGGTCCCGGAACCAGAGTCAGACCTCTGGGATTCCGGGTACCGTAGCCCGACTGACCAGTGTCGGGCCAGACAGCCTCCCCTAGCCCGTTAGCGGAGGACTCGGCTAGGAAGGCTAGCTAGGGGTGAATTCCCAGTTGTACGGGTGAGGGGGCCGATACATCCCTCCAGTATTGTAAAGCCATTGTGTAAATAAATACGTGTGCCTTACCCCGTTGTCCACGCGTCGTCAAGAACACTTCATCTGGCGTCAGAAGAACCAAGAACATGGACACGCGCCAAACAGCTCGAGCCAGGGAACAGCAGGCGGAAGACGCCGCCGAAATTGTCGAGCCCGAGATGGCTCTACTAGACGACGTGCAGCCGGGGCCGGACGCGCGCTTACCGGAGCGTCGCCATGAAGAGGAGCAGCGGGGAGACAACCTGAGGCTGGCTCACGAGAGGCTGGCGGAACTGCTCTACGCCGCTGCCGCTACGCTGGAGAACATCACACGGCTGGGGGCTGGTGGTCCACCGCGGGCCGAGGGGAACCGGCGTATGGAGCGCCTTCCCGCCATTTCTGAAGATTTAAATTTTGAATTTCCCGCCATCGACGCAGCGACCGCTAGGGGCGTGGCCAACCTCAACCTGGGGTCCGACATCGGCCGCGCTGGGGCTGCCGCATCAACGACGGAGGAGGGCGCGTCATCAAAGCTGCGACAGGCGATGCCATCTGCCATTCGCGCCGAGACGCAGCCGAGTCGGGGAGGCAGCAGCCCACGGGACTCCACGGCAACCGCTGCACTACACCAAAGGCTGCCCCCGCTTAAAGAATTCGTGGGCGCAGAGGGCGACTGGAGCGGCTTCCGAAGACGCTTCCTCGCCCACCAAGAAATGGCTAAATGGACAGACGAAGAAGCTCTCAGCGCCCTGCCGGCGCTCCTGGACGGCGACGCGCTTGCCGCCCTAACATCGGCACCAAAGGAAAAGCGCTCTACGTTACCGATGGCGCTGCAGCTGCTGGGAGGAGTCTACGGACCATCGGCGGAATGCAGACAGGAGTTCTACGACCGCAAGCGGGGAGAAAAGGAGTCGCCCCTAGCGTACCGAACGAGCCTCCTGGCGATGGCCAAGTCGGCCTTCCCCCGGATGGATGACGACGGCATCGACGCTATGGTAACGGAGAAGATACTCCTCCTGGCCGACGATCTTGACATTGCTGTCGTCGCACAGGAGGACGCGGAAATGACATCGCTCCAGGCGGCGCGGCTCCTCCACGCAAACCTCCTGTCGCTTCGGCGCAAAGCCAGCAGGGCATCGGCGGGGCGTGCGGTGGCTGCAGCCACCCTTCCGACGGAGGAACTCTACGCCGTCGACCACCGACGGCAACAGGCGACGAGTGCACGGCCGGGCCAGGACGGGTCGGGCCGTTCCGACCATTCGTCACCTCCGACGTCGCTCCCGCGGTGTTTTAACTGCGGCGTCCGGGGCCACGTCGCCTCGGGGTGCCGCTCTCCTCGTCAGCGCGGGACGACACCTCACCGGGACGACGGGCCTCATCCCAAGCTCCACCATCAAAAACCGGCGAGTCGCGGCACCCCACACGTTTGGCCCACACACACACCCGTCACGCACTCAATCACCGCGACGAGAGGGGGGCCGGTATCACGCACCATCGCACCATCACGCACCACTCCGGGTACCCATATCGAACCCGGCCAGTGGTCCGTGCTGGCCGATCGTGTGGTTGCCGCATCGTCGGGGCAGTCGGCCGTTGTAGGATATATCGACGGGGTGGAAGTGCGCATCCTGGTCGATACGGGGGCATCGGCGACTATTATTTCGGAATTAATTTATAACATTCTCCCTGTCCGAAGTCGTCCTTTGATGCCAGTTAACATACCATTCTATGCGGCTAACGGGGGCTCACTTGGCATCATCGGACAAATTCGTGCCCAAATTTGTATCGGGGAAATAAAATTGTCTGGGCCGATTTTTGTTTCTTCCTCGCTGGCGGTTCCGTGCCTGCTGGGGACGGACTTCCTGGCCAAGATGCCGATTGTAATTTTGATCGACCAGGGGTGCATAGAGCTTCCATCGGGCAGACGCATGGCGTTTCTGCCATCACCGGTTGCGACTCGGACGGCGTTCGCGACGGTGCCGGCGTTCGTGGAGAGAACGGTACGCGTTCCTCCGGGAACGCAAATGTTGGTACCCTTGAAACTTCGGCGGCCCCTCGTTAAGGGTGCTGGGGCACAAGGGGTACTGTTGGGACCGTCTAGGGCCGGGGTTAGTGGACCTGACTTACTACCGGCCCAGACCATAGTGAGAGGGGATGGTGAACCCTTCATCGCGGTCCTAAATGTGGGCTCGCGGACGGTGGTGCTCCCACAGGGGACCGTGCTTGCTCACGCAACGCCGGTGCCGTGTGAGGAACCCGCCGTAAATTCCGTCAACACTGTCCCTGCGTCGCGACCGCGTTCGGACAGCGATGAAGGGTGGCTCGAGGCGCTTTGTGCGGGATCGACGGACCTGTCCGATTCAGAGCGTCGACAACTTAAAACATTACTGCGAGAATTTTCCGACGTTTTTAGTCGAAATAAGTATGATTTGGGTTGCACTCACTTGCTGCGTCACCATATTGACACGGGTGACAGCGCGCCAATTCGCCAAAATCCGTTTCGGTTGAGTCCCGCCGAAAAGGACCATGTCAAATCGGCTGTTGATGACATGTTGGCCGCGGACATCATTTCTCCTTCCACCAGCCCTTGGGGAGCGCCGATCGTCCTGGTTAAAAAGCAGGACGGTTCGTTGCGGTTTTGCGTTGACTTCCGGCGTCTTAATAAAATTTCGGTTGCCGACGCATACCCGCTCCCTCGGATGGATGAATCGCTTGACGCCTTGGCGGGAGCGCGATTCTTTTCCACACTAGATTTACTTTCGGGATTCTGGCAGCTTCCTCTGGATGATGAGTCAAAGCCTAAAACTGCTTTTCGTACGCCGCACGGCTTGTTTCAATTCAACAGGTTGCCGATGGGCTTACACTCGGCCCCGGCAACTTTCCAGCGTTTAATGGAATTGGTTTTGGCTGGACTGCAATGGGAGTCGTGCCTCATTTATTTGGATGACGTTATCGTCTTTGGTAAAACTTTTGATGAGCATCTCCAGAGGTTGCGGGCGGTTTTCCTAAAGATGCGGGCTGCTAATTTGAAATTTAAGCCCCAAAAATGCCATTTGTTGCGTGATTCGGTGCGTTATTTGGGGCACATCGTGGGGCGCTCAGGTATTGCTACCGATCCCGCCAAAACGCAGTGTGTCAGCTCCTGGCCGACTCCCACCTCGGTGGGAGAGGTCAGGAGTTTCATTGGGTTCGCGTCGTATTATCGACGGTTTGTTGCTGATTTTGCAACAATTGCTAAACCCCTGCACGCTCTAACATCTAAAGGGGTTCGTTTCCACTGGGGTCAAGAGGAGGAGGCTGCGTTCCGCTCCCTTCGGGACGCCCTGGTGAAAGCCCCTCCCTTGATCTACCCTGACTTTTCGAAACCCTTTTTGCTCGACACCGATGCGAGCAACACGGGTATTGGGGGTGTGCTTTCCCAGGTGGTTGATGGCGTTGAACGGGTGGTCGCGTACGGTAGTCGGGTGTTGTCTCCTGCGGAGCAGAGATATTGTGTTACCCGTAGAGAACTGTTGGCAATTGTTTTTTTCATCCAACAGTACCGCCCATATCTGTACGGTCGGCATTTCACCGTCCGCACAGATCATGCGGCACTACAGTACGCCCTGCGGGTCCAACAACCATCGGGACAGTTGTCTCGATGGTTGGAGGTTCTCCAGGATTTTGATTTTGAGACCACTTACCGTAAGGGCGTTCGCCATACCAACGCGGACGCTCTGTCACGCATGCCAACCACCTCGGAATGTGCATGCCTCCTGGGGTCGGGACGTTGCAGACCTTCAGGGGACGCATCGGTCCCGATCCTGGCAGCCACCGACGACGACGAGCCACTGCCTGATAATTCGATCGAACAACAGGGAAGGGATTCCCTGTTGGGGTTGCCCGTCACTGAGTGGGGGCGCCTCCAAATGGAGGATACCTCCCTCCTCGGGTGGCGTCGTCGCGTCGGGGGTGCTGGCCGGGTGAAAGGTGATTCGGGTGCATGGGAAATGGTACAGGGTCTGCTCATGCATTGGGACGCAAAATCACAGCGACATCGGCTGGTCGTCCCTTCGGAGTTGCGAGGCAAAGTGGTGTGGGCCGCGCATGAGCGCCTGTTACATCTGGGGACTCTAAAGACCCTTGCACTGATACAACTAGATTTTTTTTGGCCTGGTATGACAAAGGATGTGGGGGATCTTTTGAGTTCATGCCCGCGGTGTGCGCAACGGAAACCGCCGGCGCGGGAGTCTAACCCGCCTTTACAATCAATCAAGGTGTCCAGAATAAATGAGCTTGTCGCACTGGACATCTTGGGGCCATTTCCCGCCACCCCCAGGGGCAATAGGTATTTGCTGACAGGAGTTGAGTATTTTACGCGCTGGCCCATGGCCTGGCCCCTTGCCAACCAGTCGGCAGCAGCCATCGTGGACGCCTTTGTTCAGGGATACGTCCTGGACAAAGGTGCTCCGGAGCGGCTGCTGACCGACCAGGGTAAAAATTTTTCCAGCAAATTACTTAAACAAGTCTGTGACCTCTTAGGCACAAAGAAAATTCGGACCTCCCCGTATCACCCACAGACCGACGGAATGGTCGAGCGCCTGCATCGCACCATTTCGTCAATGATGGCACAGCAGGTCTCAGATTCTCAAACTGATTGGGACCTGCATATTCAGGGGGTCTTGGCGGCATACCGGATGGCACCCCATGCAGCTACGGGGTTTTCCCCCTTTTACCTTATGTACGGTCGCGAACCCGACCCGCCTGTTCGCGCCCAGCTGCAGATCCCCGACCCGCAAGGAAAAACTAAATTGGCTGACCACGTCAAATTTAATCTGGCTAAATTAACAGAGGCGCGGGATGCTGCGAGGTTGAACTCGGACCTCCGTCAAAAGGCGAACGAGCGCCTCAGGTTGGGTCGGGCGCATGTCATACAGTGGAAACCGGGGGACAGGGCATGGTTGCACTGTCCCCAAGTACCCCTGGCTACCTCCCCTAAGCTGGCGCGGCCGTGGCGGGGTCCTGTGGAAGTGGTCGAGGTCTTGCGACCACAGTGCGTGCGCATTCGTTGGGGGAAGCGGCGATGGTTCGTGCACCCCTCTCGGTTGAAACCTTTCGTCGCGGCACACAAACCCACTTCACACATGCGTGGCCAGACGTGTGGGGGGTCGACCGACTCACTAGGTCCGTCTCCACCCCGCTCACCTAATGCCTTGCCGGCCGTGCCACCTCCAGGTGCATCGAGACTGACGGGCTCACGCCCGACCACCCCTTCTGGGGATACCAACAGTCACGAGGCATCAGAGGAGGCCTCGCTCCCGGACGGACGATTACCATCTGACGGTCCGCCACCCGGGGTTTCCCCGTGTGAGGGGCCCGCCGCAAGGACACGCGCAAAAATGCGCAGACTGTTGTGAAACCGCAAGGACACGCGCAAAAATGCGCAGATTGTTGTGAAACCGCAAGATGTGTAGATATGTTGTGTTCATTGTGTGTTGTGTGGGGGGGGTGTGTTCCCTGCCCATTGAATTCACATACGTGGTGCTCACCTGCTGTTGTGTGTATGGTGGCTTCGCTGCAAATTGTATATAGTTTGTTCTTACGGTATCCGTATTTATTCGGGGGGGGTGCGTCGGATTGTTCCCTTTCGGGGTTGAGGGTTTTGTTGTTGTCATTGTTGTTGTTGTTGTCGTTGTTGCTGTTGTTTCCTTCGTGTTAGTGTTAAAAAACGTTTTTTAAGGCACACGCGGGGGTCCAGGGGTTAAATAACCTTTATTGAAAGTTGTTGCAGCCGGGACGGCTGCGAGCTGTACAGGGGGAGGTGATGTAGGGCTGTTACAGAGGGTCTGTTGTGTAGGGCTGTTTGCATAGGGGCTAACGGAAAACAGACACAGTGGGCGGGGTCTCCGTGAGCACACGGGGTGGTGCCCGCAACGACGTCCGTACTGGACGGCGTGAGGGGGGGTTTCGATCCTCTAGGGGGGTATAAAAAGGGTTGAGCCAGAGAGCTCGGGGCTCAGTCTTAGAGTAGTTAAGTGAAGAGAGAAGACCGGCCAGATAGGCCCTGGACTCCCCCTGGGACGCCGCCCTTGTAAGGGCAGTGCAGGCTGGAGCCAGTGGCGTGGTCCCGGAACCAGAGTCAGACCTCTGGGATTCCGGGTACCGTAGCCCGACTGACCAGTGTCGGGCCAGACAGCCTCCCCTAGCCCGTTAGCGGAGGACTCGGCTAGGAAGGCTAGCTAGGGGTGAATTCCCAGTTGTACGGGTGAGGGGGCCGATACATCCCTCCAGTATTGTAAAGCCATTGTGTAAATAAATACGTGTGCCTTACCCCGTTGTCCACGCGTCGTCAAGAACACTTCACACGTGTGTGCGTGCGCGTGCGTGCGCGTGCGCGTGCGTGCGCGTGTGTGCACGTCTGTGCACGTGTGTGCACACACGTGCACGTGCGTGCACGTGCGTGCACGGGCGTGCAAATGCGTGCACGCGTGTGCACGTGGGTGCACGTGTGTGCACGTGCGTGCACGTGCGTGCACGTGTGTGCGTGCGCGTGCACGTGTGTGCGTGCGCGTGCGTGCGCGCGCGTGCGTGCGCGTGCGTGCGCGTGCGTGCGCGTGTTTGCACACGCGCGTGCACGTGTGTGCACGCGCGCGTGCACGTGTGTGCACGTCTGTACGCGTGCGTGCGCGTGCGTGCGCGTGCGTGCGCGTGCGTGCACGCGTGTGCACGTGCGTGCACGTGCGTGCACGTGTGTGCACGTGTGTGCACACGCGTGCACGCGCGTGCACGCACGTGCGTGTGCGTGCGTGCGCGTGCGTGCGCGTTCGTGCGCGTGCGTGCGTGCGCGTGCGCGTGCGTGCGCGTGTGTGCACGTCTGTGCACGTGTGTGCACACACGTGCACGCACGTGCACGCGTGTGCAAACACGTGCACGCACGTGCACACGTGCACGCGCGTGCACGCACGCGCACAGCACGCGCACGCACGCACGTGCCACACGTGCACACACGTGCACGCATGTGCACGCACGTGCCGCACGTGCACCGTGCGTGCACGTGCGTGCACACGCGTGTACACGTGCGTGCACGCATGTACACGTGCGTGCACGCGTGTGCACGTGCGTGCACGTGCGTGCACGTGTTTGCACACGCGTGCACGTGTGTGCACGTCTGTGCACGTGCGTGCTCGTGCGTGCGCGTGCGTGCACGTGCGTGCGCGTGCGTGCGCGTGCGTGCACACGCGTGCACGTGTGTGCACGTGTGTGCACGTGTGCGCACACACGTGCACGCGAGCGCACGCGCATGCCTGCGCACGCACGCGTGCACGTGCGTGCGTGCGCGTGCGTGCGTGCGCGCGCGTGCACGTGCACGCGTGTGCACACGTGGGTGCACGTATGTGCACGTGTGTTCACGTGTGTGCACGTGTGTGCGTGTGCGTGCACGTGTGTGCGTGCGCGTGCGTGCGTGCGCGTGCGCGTGCGTGCGCGTCTGTGCACGTGTGTGCACACACGTGCACGTGCGTGCACGTGCGTGCACGGGCGTGCACATGCGTGCACGCGTGTGCACGTGGGTGCACGTGTGTGCACGTGCGTGCACGCGTGTGCACGTGTGCGTGCGCGTGCACGTGCGTGCGTGCGCGTGCGTGCGCGTGCGTGCACGTGCGTGCACGTGTGTGCACGTGCGTGCACGTGCGTGCGCACGTGCGTGCACGTGATTGCACACGCGTGCACGTGTGTGCACGTGCGTGCGCACGTGCGTGCACGTGTTTGCACACGCGTGCACGTGTGTGCACGTCTGTGCGCGTGCGTGCGTGTGCGTGCGCGTGCGTGCGCGTGCGTGCACGTGTGTGCGTGCGCGTGCGTGCGCGCGCGTGCGTGCCGTGCGTGCGCGTGCGTGCGCGTGCGTGCACGTGCGTGCACACGCGTGCACGTGCGTGCACGTGCGTGCGCGTGCGTGCACGTGCGTGCGCGTGCGTGCGCGTGCGTGCACACGCGTGCACGTGTGTGCACGTGTGTGCACGTGTGTGCACGTGCGTGCGGCGTGCGTGCACACGCGTGCACGCACGTGCAAACACGTGTGTGCACACACGTGCACGCGTGTGCACGCACGTGCATGCACGCGCACGCACGCGCACGCACGCGCACGCACGCGCACGCACACACGTGCACGCGCACGCACACACGTGCACACACGTGCACACGCGTGCACACACGTGCACACGCGTGCACGCACGTGCACGCACGTGCACGCGCGCGCACGCACACGCATGCGCACGCACGCGCACAGACGTGCACACACGTGCACGCTTGTGCACACACGTGCACGCACGCACGCACACGCACGCGCACGCACACACGTGCGTGCACGCGTGCACACGCGTGCACGCACACGCACGCACACGTGCACGCGTGTGCACGCACGTGCATGCACGCGCACGCGCACGCACACGTGCACGCGTGTGCACGCACGTGCATGCACGCGCACGCACGCGCACGCACGCGCACGCACACACGTGCACACTCGTGCACGCTCGTGCACACACGTGCACGCACGTGCACGCACGTGGACGCACGTGCACGCACGTGCACACACGTGCACACACGCGCACGCACGTGCACACACGCGCACGCACGCGCACGCACGTGCACGCACGTGCACGCACGTGCACACACGTGCACGCACGTGCACCCACGTGCACGTGCACACACGTGCACGCGTGTGCACACACGCGCACGCACGCACGCGCACGCACACACGTGCACGCGCACGTGCACACACGTGCACGTGCACACACGTGCACGCGTGTGCACACACGCGCACGCACGCACGCGCACGCACACGCACGCACTTGCACAGACGTGCACACACGCGCACGCACGCGCACGCACGCGTGTGCACACACGTGCACGCACGTGGGTGCACGTGCGTGCACGTGCGTGCACGTGCGTGCACGTGCGTGCACGTGTGTGCACGTGTGTCCACGTGCGTGCACGTGCGTGCACGTGTGTGCACACGCGTGCACGCACGTGCACCCACGCGCACGCACGCACGCGCACGCACGTGCACGAACGTGCACGCGTGTGCACACACGTGCACACACGTGCCCACACGTGCAAGCACGTGCAAGCACGTGCACGCACGTGCACGCGTGTGCACACACGTGCACGCACGTGCACACACGTGCACGCACGTGCACACGCGTGCACCCACGTGCACGCGCGTGCACGCACGTGCACACGCGTGCACACACGTGCACGCGCGCGCATGCACGTGCACGCACGCGCACGCAGCGTGCATAGACGTGCACACACGTGCACGCGCGTGCACACACGTGCACGCACGTGGACACACGTGCACACACGTGCACGCACGTGCACGCACGTACACCCACGTGCACGCGTGTGGACACACGTGCACACACGTGCACGCACGTGCACACACTTGCACGCACGTGCACACACGTGCACGCGTGTGCACACACGCGCACGCACCCGCACGCACGCGCACGCACGAGCACAGACGTGCACGCACGTGCACGCACGCGCACGCACGCGCACGCACGCGCACGCACACACGTGCACGCGCACGCACACACGTGCACGCTCGTGCACGCTCGTGCACACACGTGCACGCACGTGTGCGCGTGCGCACGCACGCGTGCACGTGCGTGCGCGTGCGTGCGTGCGCGCGTGTGCACGTGCACGCGTGTGCACACGTGGGTGCACGTATGTGCACGCGTGTTCACGTGTGTGCACGTGTGTGCGTGCGCGTGCACGTGTGTGCGTGCGCGTGCGTGCGCGTGCGCGTGCGTGCGCGTGTGTGCACGTCTGTGCACGTGTGTGCACACACGTGCACGTGCGTGCACGTGCGTGCACGGGCGTGCAAATGCGTGCACGCGTGTGCACGTGGGTGCACGTGTGTGCACGTGCGTGCACGTGCGTGCACGTGTGTGCGTGCGCGTGCACGTGTGTGCGTGCGCGTGCGTGCGCGCGCGTGCGTGCGCGTGCGTGCGCGTGCGTGCGCGTGCGTGCGCGTGTTTGCACACGCGCGTGCACGTGTGTGCACGCGCGCGTGCACGTGTGTGCACGTCTGTACGCGTGCGTGCGCGTAGCGTGCGCGTGCGTGCGCGTGCGTGCACGCGTGTGCACGTGCGTGCACGTGCGTGCACGTGTGTGCACGTGTGTGCACACGCGTGCACGCGCGTGCACGCACGTGCGTGTGCGTGCGCGTGCGTGCGCGTTCGTGCGCGTGCGTGCGTGCGCGTGCGTGCGCGTGTGTGCACGTCTGTGCACGTGTGTGCACACACGTGCACGCACGTGCACCACGTGCACCACGTGCACGCGCGTGCACGCACGCGCACGCACGCGCACGCGCACGCACACACGTGCACGCGCACGCACGCACGTGCACACACGTGCACACACGTGCACGCATGTGCACGCACGTGCACGCACGTGCACGTGCGTGCACGTGCGTGCACACGCGTGCACGTGCGTGCACGCATGTACACGTGGGTGCACGCGTGTGCACGTGCGTGCACGTGCGTGCACGTGTGCACGTGCGTGCACGTGTTTGCACACGCGTGCACGTGTGTGCACGTCTGTGCACGTGCGTGCTCGTGCGTGCGCGTGCGTGCACGTGCGTGCGCGTGCGTGCGCGTGCGTGCACACGCGTGCACGTGTGTGCACGTGTGTGCACGTGTGCGCACACACGTGCACGCGCGCGCACGCGCATGCCTGCGCACGCACGCGTGCACGTGCGTGCGTGCGCGTGCGTGCGTGCGCGCGCGTGCACGTGCACGCGTGTGCACACGTGGGTGCACGTATGTGCACGTGTGTTCACGTGTGTGCACGTGTGTGCGTGTGCGTGCACGTGTGTGCGTGCGCGTGCGTGCGTGCGCGTGCGCGTGCGTGCGCGTGTGTGCACGTCTGTGCACGTGTGTGCACACACGTGCACGTGCGTGCACGTGCGTGCACGGGCGTGCACATGCGTGCACGCGTGTGCACGTGGGTGCACGTGTGTGCACGTGCGTGCACGCGTGTGCACGTGTGTGCGTGCGCGTGCACGTGCGTGCGTGCGCGTGCGTGCGCGTGCGTGCACGTGCGTGCACGTGTGTGCACGTGCGTGCACGTGCGTGCGCACGTGCGTGCACGTGATTGCACACGCGTGCACGTGTGTGCACGTGCGTGCGCACGTGCGTGCACGTGTTTGCACACGCGTGCACGTGTGTGCACGTCTGTGCGCGTGCGTGCGTGTGCGTGCGCGTGCGTGCGCGTGCGTGCACGTGTGTGCGTGCGCGTGCGTGCGCGCGCGTGCGTGCGCGTGCGTGCGC